GTAACACAAAACAAGCTTCTTCTAAAAAACACAAAACAAAAGAGAAGCCAATCAATCTCACACACAAACTAACAATCAAGATATAAACAACAAGGTCTCAATCAGAACACAACCCTTCCACAGAAGGATCAGACAAAAGTTCTCGACGTCAAAGACACGCGCCGTCCAACGACCCACTGGCAACTGGCAGCCTCCTCTCCTGCTCTTTATAGTTTGCTCCTGATTAGTAGTTATCCACAGGTGATGCTGGGCACTCTGAGGCTGAGGAGCAACACCTGGGGAGCACACACAGGAGAGCGAGAAAACACAAACACACACACACAAAACTACAGCATGTAACAGGCTCCTTTCCCACATGTCATTCCCCACTCTCTCTCTCCCTGATTTCCAACTCTATCATCTGTCCTGTCTCTCCATTAAAGGCACAAAAAAGCCCAAAAATGAATCTTAAAAAAACAAACAAAAAAAAACCTGAGTCATAACTTTAGGGTTCGATGACTTTCTGCAGCTGGTGAAGCTGCTGAACATGAGACAACGATAACGGCACAGCCTAAAGTTACTCACAATCTGTTCTGAATAATATCTGCAGGGATGGTCACTCTGCTTCTTGCTCGCTCACTCTCTCTCTCTTTTTCTCTTCTTAGCTTCATCCGTCACCGTCCATTTCCTCTAAGCCTCAGCTTAGCTCTTAGCTTCAGCCAGTAGCGGCTCGCTGCCAAACTAACACAGCGCTATAACCGGGCGACCACGGTGATCCGGGAACATGTGACTGACTCTGTTCTCCCTGTTCAAAGTTGTTGTACTACTAGATCGACTTTGAAAGGACTATTTTAAGATCTCGTGTGTGTAAGCATACATGGCCAATAAAGTTGATTCTGATTCTGATTCTGAAGATGGAAAAGTTACAGACTGTAGCTTTAAAGTGGGAAAGGTTACAGACAGAGTGACACATGCACGGCTCCTCGGCCATGTGAGCACAAAGTAAACATTCAACATCTGGTCAGACTTTGAAAGTAAATCTTGCCAATAAATAATTATGTTTCAAGACCAGTTTGGTAATTCTTAAGTACCAGATACGATCATGATAAGTTTTCAGTTTATTATGTCACATATTTTGTAGTTATGACAAACTTCACAAGAAGTCAACTTCTGAAATAGTCATCGTTGAGCTTGTGTTGCGCCCTTCTAGTCTTCTGACTACTGATGGTAAAGGCTGCTGTGTTAAGTGTCCATCAGAGGTAACTAATCCATTCAAACACATTCATACACCGCTGATGAAGCAGAGGGAGCAACCTGGGATTAAGTGTCTTGCCAAAAGACTCATCGGACATAATAATAATAATAATACTTTATTTGTAAAGCACTTTTCTATACAAGTCACAAAGTGCTTTACAACAGAAAATAAAAGCAGAGAGACAATTAAATCAACAAGCAGAGAGTAAACAAGCAGACAACAAAATCAGACTAATAAAATAAACATAAGAACAATTACCGAAATCACAGAGTATCATCACGTGGCTGCAGGAGCTGAGGATCGAACCCCCGACCTTCCAGTTAAGAGACGACCGACTCTACCAGTTGTCCTTCTCCTTAAACGTCACTTTTACAACAAGTCATGACATTAAGAACGACCGGATTCAACCCTTCTATCTGGAATGACTTGATAATAAATGTCTGGTTTATTTACAAAAAAATCCAGACGTTAAAAAGCGTTTGAAGATAAAGTCAAAACATTGATATCAAAAATATGAAACTCCATAAAGTGAGATATTAAAGTTGTGTTTTTACATTTGTCTCCAAGTGGTGGCTCGCTGTCTCATCTGTAGTTTGTTTATTTTGTAGTACAACTACTTCCTGTTTGGAGAGCTGCGGTGTGACCAATGACGTAAGGCGCAGAGGAGACGATGTCAGTCACACTCAGAAACAGAGAGGTACCTCTCACCTCAGCAATGACAGATCACAACACAGATTGAAACAGAAAAGAGAGCTCAGAGTGATGTTTTTACTGTGGATTCAGCAGTGCAGAGCGTGTTTGTGTGTGTGTGTGTGTGTGTGTGTGTGTGTGTGTGTGTCTAAGTTCCAGGTGCTGTCCCCAGTGTAACCTGAGCTGGACTTTATTAATAAATAATGCATCTGAACCAGTCAGCTCGAGCCGTAGGTAGCTCCAGCTTCTCCTGCCATTTGCCCTCCAAAGGACAGACCCACACACACACACACACACACACACACACACACACACCACACACACAAACACCAAACAGCTCACAACATCACACACTCTGAAACATATTATTTGACTGTTTCCGGCTTCAGGATCAAATTTTTGTTTTCTTGCGACACCTGGAGCGACTTCATCGATCATGAATCCTGAATAGTAAGTGTGTTTCTCTTCCTGTGTGTGCTGTCTTCATCGTGTTGTGTCGTTCCTAAAGTCACGCAGCGACCCCCCGGGAAGACCCTGAAACCTGCTCTCTAACAGAGACTTCTCACATCAAAAGTTAGGGGACAGTTTAGCGCCCTGTAACGACATCCCTGTGACTTGTGTTTGACCTGGACGATAAATATCTGCAGCTCTGTGCTCTTTTGTGTTTTTTGGATTTGTTAACGCTGCACCATGGTGTCCTGTTTTAGAAAAAGAGAAAAGAGAACGGGTAATGCTAAAGAAATAAACCGGACTAAGGAAGTTGGAGTTGGATCACTAGGCCCCTGTGCATGATGGGTAATGTAGTCCTTAGAGTCATGTCAGTTGTCACATAACAACTTTGAAAGAAGAAACCCTCACTGCTCTGAGTCAACTTTAATATTTCACTAATGAAAGGTAAATTAAGGATAATTTATTATTGGATGGGTTATTATGTGTGTGTGTGTGTGTGTGTGTCTGTGTGTGTCTGTGTGCGCGTGTGTGTGTGTGCCTCCAGTGACTACCTGTTCAAACTTCTTCTGATCGGAGACTCTGGAGTTGGGAAGTCGTGTCTGCTGCTTCGCTTTGCTGTAAGCTTTTACAAGTTAAATCAAATAAAACTCCAGAATAAAACTTTGCTTCTTTCACTTGAAAATTAAAAATTGTTTTGTTATTGTTCATATGTCACAACCCACCCCCCCCCCCCCTCCCCCCTCCCCCTCCCCCTCCCAGGATGACACTTACACTGAGAGTTACATCTCCACCATCGGAGTGGACTTTAAGATCAGGACCATCGACATGGACGGGAAGACGGTGAAGCTACAGATCGTAAGAGAGAGAGAGAGAGAGAGAGAGACAATGGAGGGCATTTTGTTGTTTCCTGCAGAGTCGGGGCTCATTGGTCTTATTCTGTGTGTGTGTGTGTGTGTGTGTGTGTGTGTGTGTATCAGTGGGACACAGCAGGTCAGGAGAGGTTTCGAACCATCACCTCCAGCTACTACAGAGGAGCTCATGGTATCATCATCGTCTACGACGTCACAGAGCAGGTCAGTGTTTCTGTCACACACAGACCCACATCATCAACAAAGAAGGAGAGTTTCAACATTAACTCCCCCTCCTCCTCCTCCTCCCCCTCCTCCTCTTCCTCCTCCTCCTCCCTCCTCCTCCTCATCCTCCTCCTCCTCCTCTTCCTCCTCCTCTTCCTCTTCCTCCTTCTCTTCCTCCTCCTCCCCCTCCTCCTCCTCCTCCTCCTCGTTTCTCTCCAGGAGTCCTTTAACAACGTGAAGCAGTGGTTGGACGAGATCGATCGTTACGCCTGTGAAAATGTCTCCAGGCTGCTGGTGGGAAACAAGACGGACCTCATCAGTAAGAAAGTGGTGGACGCCGCCACCGGGCAGGTAACGAGGCCTCACTCAGCACAACCTCCAAACACTACAGAGCAATCTCTCAGCACGCTCATGAAACAGCAGAAAACAATAACAACAAGTGCTTCATGGAATGATAAAAAGGTGAAGTTTGTCCTGAGGGAGGCGTCAGGTCAAGGCCCGAGCAGAGGATTTGTGCAAAACTTAGACTTTTATGATGTCTGTTTCTTGACCAGAAGTGACCATATATGGAAGTCTTTAACGGTTTTTGAAGTGTCAGGAGCCGTTTAGAATGATGACGTCATATAGCGGTCCACTTCCTTGTTTGAGCAGGGATTACGTTCACATCTCACACGGACCGCACTCGAGTATGAATCATGCCCGAGACCGCCTCTTCAAGCGGACTCGAGCACTGTACCCGAGTACGGTACGTTTGAGTTCACACTGATCAAATGAACCGGACTTTGGGGTCAAGCGTACTCAGATCCGGGGCCTGGTTCCATTTAGTGTGAAAAGCTAAAAGCTTGTTGGATCACTGTATAGTTCAAACCTTTATCCTCGACTACCTTAAAGTAGTCGTATCAAAGTCAGTCTTAGTACAAAAACTTTCAACAGCGTCTCTCTGTCCACAGGTCACCCTGGTCTCCCACTTTGTAAGTTTGGAGGGGGGGGGGGCACAGTTCTCCTGCAAGACGATCATACAGCTTTAAGGAACGAAGCAAAGTGTAGCATCCCTGCTAAGCACGATGCTACACTACGGCTAGGGGGCGCTATAGCCCCGGTTAAGCCCCCTCACATATGTCTGCTTTTATTTGAAAACAAAAAGAAGAAGAGAGAACTTAAAGAATAACTTTGAATTCATGAAAATTTACTATTCATAGCACCTCAACACATTAGTCAAGCTCCCCCTCAGCATTGGATGAAAAGAAAAACATGGCGCCGTCCGTTCCCTGCAGATATGATTCAAAACAGATTGAGACGTAACGTAAGGCTGTATTGTAAACAGTGTCATCGTTGTCTCATGTTTAGCAGCTTTACCGGCTGCAGGAATTCATTGACCCCGAGTTATGTGTCAGGCTTAAATTACAAATAAATAAATCCATCTCATACCAGAAGTTGTCTCTACAACGGGCTGTAGATCCTAGTCGTCATATTTGTGCTTAACCTGGTGATATTGATGAACCTTATCAGTGGACCTGGGTCTTCTGGTTTCTAAGAGTGTTCCTCTGCTTGACAACAAACGCACATTTTCTGTGATGGTGAGCCGTTATGAAGCAGAAGTAAGCGAAAGCAAGATCTACTTCATGTCAACAACTCGTTAAAGTCTTTCTATGTGATTTTTCACACTTAAATGTAGAAATCAAGTATCTCCTCTGAAAATAACTCTGTGAGTCATGACTGTCTACAATGGGTGTAACAACCGAGTCCCACTGTCTGTGATGTTTTCAGAGTTTTCAGAGTCCTATCTTCACTTTGTTTACATCGCCCGGACGGCCGGCTGACTCCTCCCCTCGAGTATAAAAGTTGTTTAATTGAGGGACTAGAGAAAAGAAGAATAACATACTGTACTCACTGCTTAACTGTGTTTCTAGATCACGCTCATTTCAGGTAAATTTACATGCAGTGTGAAGATACCAGCATAATAAAGATCACTAGCATTAGCATGCTAACACAACAATGCAGCGCGAGTTGTTTTGGTTTCATGCTGGTGCTCAAGGGCGACATCTGCTGGATCAAAAAATCACAAATAAAACCTTTAACTTATCATCAATAAGCAGTAATTAGGAAGTTACTGAGGGGAAAACTCTTCATTAATGACATATGAGCTATAGACTATGGTCATGTATCTTAAGGTCTAATAACAGTAAATAAGCAGCCAGTATGCTACAAGTTAGCATGCTAATTAGCATGTCCTCCTCTGGGTGTGTCCCCCTCCAGGACCTGGCCTCGTCCCTGAAGATCCCCTTCCTGGAGACGAGTGCTAAGAGCGCCGACAACGTGGAGAAGGCTTTCCTCACCATGGCTTCTGAGATACACAAACGTGTGGCCAGCGAGGGAGGGGGGATGCAGGGGGACGCCAAAGAGGCCAGATCCCAGAGCGCCAAGATCAACAGCGCCCCCCTGTGGCTGGGAGGAGACAAACAGACGAAGGAGTCAAATAACTGCTGCTGAGCGGGCGATTAACACCGTGCTGACATGAAACATATCTGTTCTTTTTTTAAAAATGGGAGTTCAGTCGTTGTAAACACACACACACACACACACACACACACACACACACACACACACACCTGCATACTCTCAGGACTTTGTGAATGTGTTCTGGAAAAACCTGCATGTTTATAGATTTGCTCTTGAACAAAAACTTAAATGTAAAATATGACTTTTCTGGATGAAATGATTTTAGGCTGGTTAGATTATATTTTGAGCTTCATATTTTTGAATCCAACACACGATGATGTTCCTGTTTTATTAAAGACTGGAGAAAATCAGACTTTCTTTGAAACAGCAAAGTGAAGTGGACTTTAAAGTGGTCGTATGAAATACCAATATTTGAATAAAAAGGTGTGCAAATACAATTTTTTTCTTCCAACTATAATGCATCCTGAGAGACTCATTATTATTTCCTTCAGAGATGATTTACTGAATTTCCCCGATGCTGTTGCGGTTTGCTGATTTGTTAATATCAATAAAGATGAAAGGATTCTGAAATGATGGTGAGAACTATTAGAGGAGAAATATGTAACTAGCGTGTAAAATGAGGGTACTGCAGGCAGGAGTTTACAGAGATGCTGCTCTTCCCTCAGTACACATTACTACCTGACCTGGATTGATGTCCAGACAGGTTAAGATACCTGCCAGCTGTGATAGGATATCCAGACATTCAAGAAAAAAGGAATGCTGAAAAATGTGTCCAACTGATATTATGCAAAAATAAATTGCAAGTTGCATATTTTTTTATTTAAGCTCTAACTTTAAAATTAGGTTGTTTGATAAATATATATATATATTAGGTGTAATTTAGAAACCAGAGCACACCTGGATGACCTCTCACTGGAGCAAGGTGGAACATCAAACAGGATGAGTGAGGGGGAATAAATACAGGTTAGCTGCTGTTAGTTTTCCTTCCACTAGATGTCAGTCTTGCTCCACGTTTTCAGCTCTGTTGCGATTTCCAGAGAGACAAAATGTTTCATCAGGACGTCTCATTCACACTCTGGTGTTTCCCCCTCTTCCTCTCCTTACCTCCCCCCCTCCCCCCCCCTCCCCCTCCCCCTCCCTCTAACCTCACCCATGACATCTTTGCATTCATCTTTTGGTTTCCCACTCTCACTCATCTCTCCCTCTGCCCCCTAAAGCCTTCTCCTGCATCCTCTCCCTTTTCCTGAGACCGTGTTGCTCGTTGCTGATTGGTTAATTTGGCTGTTGGGACGTTTGCAGAGTATTTTAAGTGATGCACTGGTTTCTGAAGCCTCATCAACTTAGAAAGAACTAAACAGGTGGATACTTTGAATCTCAGCAAAACAAATAAATATCCTGAAAATAAGAAGAAAACTGAAAAAGTGAAATAGTTTTGACTTTTTCACCTTTTAAATATCTAGGTCTTTGATGCACACACACACACACACACACACACACACACACTCTTTTCCAGCCCCCAAAAAATGTCTTCAAAGCTAGTGCATGCCTGACACTATCGTAAAATTAAGATAATACTGCCACCTACTGGCCACTTTAGGTGTTATATGTAAAAATGTAAAAAGAAAAAAAAGTATGACAAGCTGACTCAGCAGAAATAAGACCGCTTTTTTCAGAATCAGAATCAAAATCTACAATACAGCAGTAGAAATATAGTAATAAAAATATTAATCAAATAGAATAGGAATGTAAGTAAGATATCAATAAGAGTCAGATGGAATATATACACACATTATCAAGATTATTGCACTGTTTGTTTCAATATTGCACTTTGTTATCATTATTCATTATTATTATATTGCAGTTTTAATAAATAATGAGTTATAGTGGAGGTTACAGTTATTTTATTTTATTTATTTGTGTAGTGGCAATCTAACAACAAAAAGTGCCACTCATGGTGGGTAAAAAAGGGAATGTCTGCTGTTGATTATGTTTGCAGTATTTATTTATCAACAATCTTAAAAACACCAACAAAAAGACGGGTGTAGGCCAATTCTGCATCAGACGAAACTAGCTCATAAACATAGATAAAGTCTAAACGTGGCGGACAACATCTTCACACACTTATGGTTGAAAAACTGTGTGGCTTCCACTAATTCCCTCTCCCCATTCACCTGTGTCTCCCCTTTCTGCCTACCTGTGGCTGTGGCAGGTGTGCAGGTGACGTTTGCAGCAGAAAACGTCCACACAACCAACCACACACACAAACCACATCACACATGAAATTGGCGACAACAATTTGTTTTTGAGGGTATTATTGCCGACGCCTACACCAGGATGCAAGCAGCGTCTGTAAAATACATCCTCATCCATGACGCCTGCACTCACTGCAGTTTGCATTTTTCTACGTTTCTTCCAGAGCTATAGTTTGCAGTACGAGCGAGAGAGGTGAGAAGTAGACTGTAAGTCTTCAGAGCCACAAACCACATCAGAACATGATGCTGGAGAAACAGTTTTTACAGGTTTCACCCTGAAGACACAGAGCAACAGCAACAACAGCAGGACATATTTTTACACACAAACATATCGTGTGACAGTTTATTACAAGCTGAGACTAGAAGCTGAGCTAGCGTCCTACACAGACAAGTTTTGGAAAATGTGGTCCTTTATTTCTTCAGGCCGTATGTCTTCTATAAGATGTATTTTCATATTTAAGGGGTCGTTTTCTTCTTTGTGGGTATTGGTCCACTTTGCCTTGAGGAAAACAAAATGTTTCAGCAAAACAAAATCAATCCTGGCACTATTTCTCAAGAGCATATAGTTACTGACTCCGGGCCTCAGCACTGCCCAAAAATAACAGTGATTAGTGAAAGGAAGACAAAAACCTCTTTTTACCTAAGTGCAGAATAATGACGGGTTCAGGAAGACACACGATGAAGCAAACTGTGGACGACTGATCATCTCAAACCTTAAATCATGTTCAAACCGTTTGAATAGAGCCGTTCAAACATCAGCTGAGTAAAGCATGTAAAGACACAGTTTGATTCAGGCCGTCTCCTTCTTCTGCTTTCTGTGAGGGTGTTCCCTCAGTGTGAGTATTTTTAGTCTTGCATCTTTTGGGCCCTGAAGTCAGTGCTGGGAGTGTTAGTGTTGGAACAGATGAGTATTAAACGGCTTTAGAGGCTGAGTTTCCTCCACCAGCAGTTAGATGTTATTTGTCCTTCAGGAGGCGCACAGCGGTCAGGATAATGAGGCTGATTGATGCTGCTGGTGTTGGGTCAGTAAATGGGCGTCGTCATGGGAGCTTTTCTCTGCACCGGGGAAACATTAAAGAAAGCAACGCAGTGTTAGCCGCTGATTCCTCTTAAGAAGGTTCATTGAGATTACCTCAGTATTAAGTCGTTTTTTTTTACAAATGCACTCCTGAAAATATCTAGATCATTTCAGGAGATTCTCGTCTCCTGGCTGTTCACATGATGCTCCTCACAGCTGGAGACTGTCCCTGTCAGACTGGAGGGGTCTGGCAGGAGAAACTCAGAGTGAAGTCAGAGTGAAGAATGTGGCTGTTTGCATTCACACATACAGCTCCTCCAGGAAATAACTCATTCTGAGTTTTCCAGGAGAGTTCTGTAAATGTGTAAGCCTTATTAGAGACTGCAGTGTGATGAAACTGCTGCTATGAGCCAGGTGATGTGAGTGTTCTGTTCAGTATATATATATATACACTGATTTAAAGACAATAAAAAACCGGTAAACATATACAGGTAGAGTTGAGGAGTTTGTTCAGCTACAGTATCAGAATCAGAATCAGAAATACTTTATTAATCCCAGGGGGAAATTAGTTTGCTACAGTTGCTCATAACACCAAAAATCAGTAGGAAGTACAGATAAGTTCACAATATAAAATAAAACAAAAAAATAGTAATACCAATATAATAAGCATAAGTACCAAGTGAAAGCAATAATAAAGTAGTAGCTATGAAGCTATGTTCAAGCGCAGGTAATTGAGAATATAAACAATATTTACAAATATGAACATACACTGATGGATTAACAGAAGAGTAGATTTTGCACGTTTGATGTATAAATATTGTCCAGTTTTCAACAGATTTCTCAGTTTTAGTAATAGGTCAAGGTAATAGTCCAGGGAAATTGCAGACTCAGTTTGTGACTCTCAAATGGAAGAGTTATAGAGTCTGAAGGCCACAGTATCAGACCCATGACATGTCTTATACTCTTATGGAACCCAACAGGCATCAGCTGGTGTTCCTTCACCTTCCCTGCACTGACCTAATTGGACGTGTGGCTCACCTGGTGGACTTTCACACCTGCTGATGAGAGAAGCAGAGCCTTCACAGCTGCTCACACAGGACTTTGTGTTATATTTCTGTCCTTCAGGCTTCAGTAAAAAGCAGGTTGAACATTAACTACAACTTTTTATGTTCAGCCTCTCAGCTGGATGTCCTGAATTCAGACTGAAGGCTGACACAGTTAACTACCATCATGTCCTGCTTCTATAAAAGCTCTGCTGTTGTCCTCCATCTTGGTATGAGTTAGAGGTGCAAACGAGTATTCGTTCATTCAATAATAATCGGTTACAAATAAAATGTAACATCTATTAATAATAATCGTTTTGTAGTCCACATTTTTGTGAATGTTTCTTGTTGCATTGTGGGTTCTATGATGGGCCAAATTCAAAACAGAAAAAAAGGAGCACACGCAAACAGAAATAAAACTTCAGGTGCACGAGCGCAAAAAGACAAAAGATGACAAACAAAGCGCTGATAAAGGCTCTGTGCTGAAATGCGTTCGTTATTGATCCGTACGCTGCTAAAAATATCCCTTTAATTTACCCCTTTATGAATTCACAATGAACAAAAAGTCCCAAACACACAAAATATGCAATATGATCTAAAGTTCAGCTCAAATTGTCTTTTAAGTCCACAGAAAAATAAGGACTTTCACTTTGTGATAACCGCTTTACCCCCCGCCAAACCAAAGACGTTTGACCATCCAGGACAGAGCAGCAGAACTAGATGTTTTCCTATATTTTGGAATTTTAGATGATT